ATTTTGACCAAAAGACATTAAAAACTAACAACTACCGTCAATGTGCCCGATCATTTCATAAAAGAAAGGAGGTTTAATACAGGAAGAAGACCTAATCTCAGAATAAGGAACAGTGCTGCCCAGGAAAAGATAGTTTGCAACCTTGACTGATAGGCATACACACATGCACAGGCACACTCACTCACTCACACACACACACACACCCCACAAAAATACATCATTTTCCCAGCTTTTCATGGGAAGGACCACAAACCTTCATGACCAGCCAGGGTCCCCCCAGATCCTGTACATGCAGCTGACCCCATTCTTTCGGCGAAGATGCATGTCTATGTGTGATCCAGAGCTGGCCTGGGTCTTTTCTGGGTCACCTCCCCCATAACTGGGCTCTTTCTCGGTACACAGGTGCCTCGAACCCCTAGAGTAACCTGGGCAATGAATGGGGCCCCGTGAGCAGTCCTCTTCATGCTCCTGCCAATCTCTCCCTGGGCAAAGCTGGCCTTCCCTGCTCCCTTCGACTCCACTGCCTGATAACCTGGGGGGCAGACTCCTTCCCTCCCGGGCCCACCCTACACGTCCCACCTCAAAGCTTTTGCTCGGGCACTTCTCTCCCCCGAACCCGCCCCCCACCCTCTCCCCGGCTGCCCACCCACTTCCGCTTATGTGTCACTGCCTGTATGACACCACCGAGGGGAACGCCTCTCAGGACAGAATCTCGCCTTGACAGATGGAATCTGTGAGCGGGTCTGAAGGACGGGATTTGTGGTTGTCTGGGACCTGTTCTTCCCTTCCCTCTGCTCTGGCCCATGGCTGGGAGGCCCACTGAGTTCGCTGCAGGCCAGCCCAGACGCCTGTCTGTAAAAAGGAGTTCCCGGGAGACCCGAGAGGGCAGACGGGGGGCCCGGGGTGCGTGCTCCCTTCAAATATCAAGCCCGTTCCTGGTTGGTTTCTGACTTGATTTCCTGATCTCTTGGATTAAAATGCAGGTGATCTCGTTGTATTTTAACACTTGCTGCCTCAGTAGAGATGACAAAATCGGGACCTGGGCCCAGGATAAGGCCTGTCAAGTGGTGGGGATGATGGGCAGGGGGCCAGGGGTAAATGTGCTGAGACTCTCCCATCCTGAGCGGCCCCTGCACCCCTCCTCCCTGCCCTCCTATGTGCTTCCCAGGGGTGTCTTTTCACTTCCCAGGGGTGCACTGGGGTTTCTCAGGGCCTGAAGTGAAGGAAGGTACCTTTTGCTTAAGCTGGTGAGGTATCATTTGCTTCCTGTGGGTCAGAGTCTCTTTTAGGGTCTGGAAGGGGGTGGGTATCCCAGTTGAGTGCCAGCCAGGACCATCTGGGAGCATTAGCCCCTGATGGCAAGGAAACCGGGGTCAGTGAGCAGAGAGGTAGCTGGGACCCTGAATTCATCACTGGATCCTGTTCTGGGTGGGCCTCATCCAGGAAGAGCCCCCACCCTAGCGCTGGAAGTGGTTGAGGGGCTCCTTGAGGCATTTGGCAGGACCCCTACAATGGATCAGGCCATAAGGGAGACAGCCAAGGCTCTCTCAAGCCTGGGGCCTTGCCCGGGCAACCCCTTGCAAGCCCAAGGCTCAGGAGTCCTGCGTTCTGGGCCCAGCTCCCCTGATCTTGGGTAAGTCACTTCCTCTTTCTGTGTCTCCGTTTCCTGGTCATACGAAGGGACTGGATGAGGTCTGTCATGGCCACATTTTTTCCAAGAGTAGGCTCTTTTTTCAAATAAAATCTTAAACAGACCCTTAATTTATCAAACAGGGGCAAGTGTGTGGGCTCTGAGCACACACATCCCCAGTGACCCCGCCACTCAGTTCGGCGTCTGGTCGCCCGGCAGTCACAGCTTCAGCAGCCTCACCGCACCTCCAATCCACCAGCGACGCCTGGGCCTCCAGCTTCTCATACTCCACTGTCCACCGCCCCGGCTCCAGCCCTCTCTCCCGGCCACCACAGGCCCTCCTGCTTCTGCCCCTATTCCCCCCACAATCTGTCCTCAATGCAATCCAAATACAAGTCAGGTCACCCCTCTGCGAACCCCACCCAAGGCCCCCTCTCACCTAGAGCACCCTCCCAAAGCCTGTACCCCACCAGCTAGCCTTTTTCTGTCCTCTTCTCCCCGACTCCACTCCAGCCTCCCTGGTCTCCTCGTGTCAGACATACCAACCACCCCCCAGCCCCACCCCCCAGGGGCTTGACTCACTCTCCCCACTTCCTTCAGATCTCGGCTAAACACGGTCTTCTTGGAGCGGCCTTCCCTAACCACCTGCTCCAGAACAGCCCCCCTGGGCTCCCATACCCCTAACCCTGACTTTCTGTCTTTCCTTCTGGGAAGGTCAGCTGCAAGTCGGCAGAGGCTTGGTTTAAGGCTGGGCCCCCCTCCATCTGATGCAGATACTACTTGTGGAACGAACACTGAATGAATAGAGGAAGAGCAGTGTCTGCATCCAGAGTCCTGCGCAGCCTGTCTGCATTTTCCTTCTCCCCAGCCGGTGTTTCCAACAAGCAGCAGACGGAGCTTGCTTGCCAAGATCCTCACACTCCTGTTCCAGGGGGCTGACATCCAAGCCACCCCCTCTGAGCCCCTGGGTGTGGGGTGGGAGGCATTCCCCTAGCTGTCTGGACATCCATCTCCTGCCAGCGAGGAGGAGGGGGCTTTGGGAGCTGGGTGGAAAGCTGAGATCAGCTGAAGACTTGGAAGCCAGCCCTGAGTGGTCGGCAGGCTCTGGGAGAGGCCTGGGGGTGAGGGGGTCATAGATTATTGCCCCTCATCATCTTTGGGTACTGTAACACGGGTAGATGTGCAGCTCAGGTGCTGACAGAGGATGCACGAGTGAGACTAAGAACTGCCTTCTAGTATTTGAGAGTGAAGAAGGATTGGGCCCCCCTGAACAGGGTTTCTAATGGTACAAGTTAAAGAAGGCAGACTTTCTCTGATATCTATTGGAAAGACTACCACAGTGGTGGTAAGTTCCCCATCACTGGAGGTATGCAAGTACCTTTCAGGAATATTGTCAACAGGATTCCTGTACTGGGCACAAGGTTAAATGAAATACTATCTCGGAACTCTTCCAACCTCAAAGATCCTCTTAAATAAAGCGACTTTTTTTTTTTTGCAACGAACCAATATTCAATTAATATTTGTGATGGATGGGCCCCACACAGCTCTAAGTAAGCTTGTACTGGTGTGTTAATCCTTGGCTGCCTGTGGATAGCTACTTAAATAGTAACTCATCCAATCCTCATAACACTCTTAAGAAGCAGGTATTATTATTATCCCCATTTTACAGATGAGGCCAAGGCCTGTCCCATCCCAGTTAAGCAGTCGGCAAACAGGTCATCAACAAATGATAATAGCAGTAATAATAATAACTATTAAAAGTCTGCCCTCTGCCACAGGTGCAAAACTTTTATGCATTATCTCATTTAATCCTCAAAACAACTCTGAAGGGTAGTTATTACTTATCGTCATTTTCTAGGTAAGTAATGAGGCACAGAGGGGTTAAGTGTTAATAACTGACCCAGTAATAAACAGAGAAAGACAAGAGGAAGTGGCTAAAGAGAGGTCAACCTGGGGAAAATATGGGAAGTCACAGAGGTCGGGACCCGGGCCCCTCACCTCCCCTTCCTCCCAGGGAATCTCCTCCTAGGTCCACCCATCAGTATTGGGTGTGGTAGATATTTGGTTCTGGGGGTGGGGGCGCCCTCCCCAACAGAATTTCCAGTTCCTCCAGCGGATGACATTCGTCTTTCCACTTCCAAGGGAAAGGATCCAGGCTGGGACGGAAATGGGGGAGGGGAGGCATTCGGATCTAGTGCTCCCAGGTCCCTCTGAGACACCCCTCCCACTAGCCTAGGGCCAGTCACCTCCAGCTGCTCCCCAATTCGGGGCTGCCGGAGAACAGCCCGTCACTATGTTTTAACACTGGGGAAAACTGAGGCCCGCGGAGCTGAGGTCACAGAGCTAAGCCAGGAAGCAACTGGGTGTCCAGCACAGAAGTAGCTCGAGCCTGGCTTCCCCCAGGGCGCCCACCATCCTTAATCCTCAGAAAGGTTCTAAGAGGTTTGCCCAGTAATTCGCCTCTGAACGGGAACCTCTTCAACCCACTGAAGCTTTCCCTGGGCGCCGGCTGGGCTGGGCCTTTCGAGAGAATTTACTTCGGAGCGCAGCCCTGAGCAATGTCCAGAAGTCCGAGGGTGCGAGATGGGGTTGGGGGACATGAAACCAGACGCTGGAGACCCCTACCGAGAGCCGGTTCCCAAACCGGTTTGGCTTCACGCATTCCAAGCAGCGCCTCCTCCCTTCCGTAGGGGATCCCTAAGGCCACGCGCAGTTCGTGCGCCCTGGACCCTCCCCAAGCCCCAGGCTTCGCAAAGGCCGGTCCGAAGGTCACTGTCCTGGAATCCGCAAGAGGGATGGGGGAGGGGATCCCGGTGGGTCCTCGGTCTAGGCGGGCGGGTGGGCTATTAGGCCGCGGGCGTGTCCAAACTTACGGGGACCCGGGTCCTCGGCCCCACGCGCGGCCAGCATCCGAGGACGCGCGCTGGACACAGGCGAAGCGGCGGGCGTGGGAGGCTGGAGGGGCCCGGCCCGCGAATGATCGCATCTGAAGTTCAGGCGGGACCAGAACCGGGGGAGGGGGCCGCGTTCACAAAGCCCCTCCTCTTCGGCTCTGACAGATAGAGACCACCCTCAGATACCCACCAACCTAGCCCCGTACGTGCCGGCCGGTTTTCCGGCGAGCGACATCTGGGTTTAAAAGTTTCGCCAAGTCTTGGGTCCTGCAGCGGCACCAGGGCCGCCCCCTTCCGCGCAGTACCGGGGGGACCGGCCCGAGTCGCGGCCAGGGGTTCGGTCTCAGTCCAACACCCCGAAGTCCTGCGGCCGGGCTACTCCGGAGTTCCGAGCTCTCTCGGGGGCGGCAGGGACGCGGAACGACAAGGGCCCGGGGACACCGAGGGAGAAGGGGGCGCCGCGGCTCCGCACTTACCCCACGGGGTCCGCGCGCTCGGGCGCCCCGGCTCGTCGGATCATGCCGCCGGTAGCTCCAGGACGGTGAAGGCAAGGGCTCAGGCGCCGGGCGGCGCGGGCCGCGAGGACCCGGGCGCCCGCATGCCCCTGGCGCTGCTGCCCTGGGGAAGGGCCCGGGCGGGCACCGCCGCCAGCCCCGCGCCGAGTAGGGAAGCCACTGCCGCAGCCGCCGCCGCGCTCTGGGGCCCTTGCTCCCTCCACTTCCTGTATCGGAGCGAGCGGGGCTTTCAGGAAGAGGCTGGCCTTGGTGGTCAAGGGTTTTTTTGTCAAAAGCTTTTCGGCAGCGGCTCGCGGCCCGGAGCCCCCCACACCCACCCCCAGGGGCCCTCGGAAGCCCCCGCAGCCGCGCCCCCTGGGCTGGGCCGGGCCTGGCGGCGGGCGGCGGCGTTTCGGAGCGCCCAGCCGCGGGGTGCTGCCTGCGCCGCTCTGGCGGCTCCCGGAGACACGGGAGAAAAACTTGGAGAAAAGTTTGCAGCTTGGTGGAGAGTCCCGTGGGAAGCAAGGCGTTTCCGCTCCGGACCGGCAGGTGGGGAAGCGGAGAGCTCTAAGCAGAGCACTCTCGCGCTTTACCTCCTGCCCGAAGGAGGCTCAAAATGCCATAGGACAGCTCCAGACCAGAGGCAGGGCGCCTCCTCCACGTCTCTGACAGGTGGCCACGCTGCCGTCTCTTGAATGCCTCCACTGACGGTGAACTCACTACCTCACAAGGCAGTCTCTTCCTCCATCAAGCTAGGCATCTAATTCACCTATTCTAGGTACTAAGCCTAGATCCGAGCAGAGGGAGAAAGTCAGTCAGTTTACACAAATACAACTACAGCTACTCTAGTGGGACCAGGAGGCCTCTCTTCTAAAGGCCTGGGCACTCAAAAATGCCTCCTGAGCCTGGGCTGCCCTCAGAAGTCTCACAGTGACTGGTCAGCACCGAACCCTACAGCGCGACTTCAGTCTGATGCGGGGTTCCTCAGCCTCCACACGATTGATATTTGGGGCCAGATAATGCTTGGTTGTTGGAGCTGTCTTGTATCTTGTATCTCTGCCCACTCTGCTGTAGCATCACACACTCCTTATAACAACCCCAGAACGTCTCCAGACACAGTCAAATATCCCTGGTGGCCACAATCATCCCCGTTGAGACCCTCTGGTCTAACATCTTTATTTCACAGATAAGGAAACTGAGACAAAGGAGGTGACTTGTGGGAGGCACACGGCAAGGTAAGGTGCCATAGGGCTGAGGCCCAGGGCTCTGGTGCAGGCATTCGGAGGCGAGGCCTCTTTGCCCTCCCTACCCCTGCTTGCTCATCTGTAGAAGTGATGTGTATAAAGGGGAGGGGGTGAGGGGGGCACTCCAGGGTGCCATTATTATTAGTCTTCTGCTGTTGCTAAAACAAGCCTGTAGGCCACTCCCAGGGCTCCCTGGGCCCCAGGGTCCATCCAAATCTCACACCTAGAATAGTCTTCCAGGTCCTTCTAGGCTGATCTGGATTGCGAGTGACCGCACTCTTCCGTAGCCTCCACAAATAAAGGTTTCCCTCAGCACCCTGGTGGACTTCCCTGGTGACGCAGATGGTAAAGAATCTGCCTCCAAGGCAGGAGACCTGAGTTCGATCCCTGGGTCGGAAAGATCCCCAGGAGAAGGAAATGGCAGCGCACTCCAGTATTCTTGCCTGGGAAATCCCATGGACAGAGGAGCCTGGCGGTCGCAAAAAGTTGGACATGACAGCAACCTGCACTCACTCCACTCCCTGGACCATGTATGAGAAACTCAGAACAAGCTCTTCAAAGCCTGGGTTCCATGACCATCTCCAGGGCTCTAACCATGTCCCCCAGAGGCCTCCACAAGGCCTGCTCCTCACCTCCTCTGTGAAGACAGAACTCCTCCAGTGGACACCAGATGAGGCCCCACACTGACCCTGTTGCTGGTAACTGTGGAGGAGGATGTTGCAAGATAGAAATCTGAGCAGCCCCCTTTAGTCATGGCCTCTGCCAAGCTAGCCCTTAGATTCCTTCCTGGGTCCCCTTTTCCTCTCAAATCCTCACACTCCCCACTTCTCTCCCTGGAATGAATCTGAGGACTCCTGTGGGAAGTGAAAATCTCCAGCTGTTTACGCCTGCAAGCTCCTTCCTCTACCCTCAACTTTTTGGTTAACAGTACCCCAGGACCTGGTTTCCGTTTAAGGAATCAACCCTCCTCAGTTAAGGTCATGCGGAGATAACCAGATTCTACCCTCACTTTAGAGGACATACACCAATCTAATCTGACCAATCAGAGCCCTATACTTACCAGGCCTAGTGATTGGCTCATGGATGAGCACATGACCTAAGCTGGGCCAATAAGATCCCTCCCTGGGACTTGATGGTGGCGCTATCCGGAAATACCAGCAGTCTTACCCCCCAACCACAAACTGGCCTTATCCTGGGAGAGCATAAGCTTGGGGCAGCCCAGTGGTTACTTGAGCCACCATGTGGTAAAATTGTGCTCAAAAGACAGTCAAGAAAGGAAAGCAATGCAGAGAGACTATGCCCTAATGACATCTTTTGAGGTCTTGATTCTGAGATGCTTAAAGCACCATTAGACATCTCATGTATAGGAACCAATATAGTCCTTTATATTTTCTTTCCGTTTCTGAAAACTCAAGCCAGATCTCGGTCAGGTTTCTGTTAACCATCAGGCAAAGACTCCAAGCTGTCCGTGACTGCAGCCCCACCTTCCACTTTCCACTCCCTGCTGGGTCTGGAGGATGTCCAGTTGTGGCAGGGCTGTAGGAATGCAGAGGTAAACACTTCAACTTATTGCCCCCAAATAGAAAAGACTGCTTTGCCTCTCAGGGTCCTCCTGGGGTAGCTCTCACCTCCACGAGCTCCTCCACCTTCCCCTCCCTCCACTCAGGTGAGGCTTGATCCAGAGGTGGAATGTGTGAATTTGCAGGGGAAAGTCACCTTCAGGAGGTTAACTCCAAACCTTGCTGAAGTTTCTGGGGACGATTAGCAAAGAAAAACATTTCACAGCACAGTCTTATTTTTCAAAACTTGCCAAAATCTTGCTCTGAGTTGGATTACAGATTTTGAGGAAACAGAGGGTATTTGTTCAACAGAACTTTTCCTAGTTTATGGAGTAGTTAAAAGTTAGTAACTACTCTTTCCTAGTATATGGAGTAGTTAAGTCAAGAGTAGGGGCTGGAGTCAGGAGGCCAGGGTTCAAATCCTAGCTCTGCCACTTAGCAGCTGTGCTGCTGCTGCTGCTAAGTCACGTCAGTCGTGTCCGACTCTGTGCGACCCCATAGACAGCAGCCCACTAGGCTCCTCTGTCCCCAGGATTCTCCAGGCAAGAACACTGGAGCGGGCTGCCGTTTCCTTTTCCAATGCATGAAAGTGAAAAGTGTAAGTGAAGCCGCTCAGTCGTGTCCGACTCTTCGAGACCCCTTGGACTGCAGCCTACCAGGCTCCTCTGTCCACGGGATTTTCCAGGCAGGAGTACTGGAGTGGGTTGCCATTGCCTTCTCCAGTGGCTGTGCAGTCTTAGGCAAACTACTTCACCTCTGTGTGACTCAGTTTCTTCATCTGTGAGATGGGATAGTAATAGCACCTACCTCATAGGGATTCTGTGACTGTTGCATGAACTAATGTACGTAAGGGACTTAGAACAGACCCTGGCATGTAGTAAGTACTCAATAAGTATTAACAATTATTTGTGCTATGACTAAGCACAAATGAATTAGTCAGCTCTCACAGGTACTTCTGATTAGGATAAATTGAATAGGGCTTCCCTGATGACTTAAGTAGTAAAGAATTCGCCTGCAATCCAGGAGAGGCAGAAGAAATGGGTTTAGTCCTTGGATTGGGAAGATCCCCTGGAAAAGGGATAGGCTACCCACTCCAGTATTCTTGGGTTTCCCTGGTGGCTCAGATGGTAAAGAATCGCCTGTAATGCGGGATACCTGGGTTCGATCCCTGGGTTGGGAAGATCCCCTGGAGGAGGGCATGGCAACCCACTCCAGTATTCCTGCCTGGAGAATCCCCTGGACAAAGGAGCCTGGTGGGCTACCGTTGCATGTGCATGAGGAAGATTTAACAAATGTGTAGTGGGAAGTAAAAGGGACTGTGCTATCACTCTTAGGTCTATTATCTTCCTCAGCCTGAAGATGAGAAGGAGTGGTTACCAGACCCAGAAGCAGAGAGTCCTGTCCTGTAGAGTGATCACCTGGGGAGTGGACCAAGGACCCTCAGTCCAGAGATGCAGCCAGGAAAATAAATAATCTGAATCATCTCCCTCCCCCCAACCTCCAGCAAACAGTGGGCCCTTCAGTCGCCAAAGCCAGCTAGAAGCCAGAGGGTTTGGGAGCCTATTGGTCAGTCCCTATAGGTGTGGAGTCCCTGTGGGTCAACCTCCTGGGGTGTGGGGAAGGACTGGGGTCAGGGAGGGCAGGAGGGCAAAACTGTGGAATCAAACAAAATGAGCCCAAATCCTACTGGACTTTGGCAGGCAATCTTGGGCAAATCAGCCAAGGGACCAGACAGATGAGTGAAACCATCTTGGATCCTCCAGACCAGCCCATCTGCTAGCCAAATATCATGCAGTGACCTCTATCAATGTCACATGGACCAGGAGAATCACTGGACAAGTCCTACCTGAATTCTTGACTGGGAAAATCATGAAATATAATAAAAATGTTTGGGAAAATTTTGTTTTGCAAAAATAGACACAGAAAACAGCTCTCTTCCTGAGGCTTTTCCATCTTCTGACCTCCTCCCCCCACCAGAGCTCCGACATCTCTGTTCCCTGTTACTTTGGTGAAATATGTTGAAAGTGGTGGAGAAAAACTTTATTATTGCAAAATCAATCAGTATCCTTTGGGTCAGCCAGGAACACAGTGTCTGCCGTGACTGGGTGGGGGCTGGGGTGACCTGAGAACCCATCTCTGGAGGAAGTGGCAGCCTTTTCTCAGTTCTCCCCGACAGGCGCCCAGCAGGAATGCGGGCCTGTGCATAAAGGGCCTTATAATTTA